CTTCGCCCTAGTCCTTAGGACCCCAGGCGCAGCTGTCCGTCTCGGCGTCTGGGGAGAGCTTGATCATGAAGCACGCCAACTTCTGGCTCGACTGGGGCGCTCGAGGGACCCTCGGAGCGTGGAAAGCGATGGAGGTAGCCGGTGTATGCCCCCCAGCTCTTCCCCTGTCGACTCCCTGTCCAAATGACTTAAAAATGTCTCCTCTATAAATGTAGTCAGAGGAAAACCAAATACCCAGGCGACCAGTGCAAAAATCTTCCGGGGATGTCAGATGTGGGAAGAGACAGGGATTTTCCCTCGTGCCACGGCAATGATAAACCCCCTATCACACCTGACAGGGAAACCGGCGGTGGGGGGGCTGGTTACCGGGGGCGGGGGGACAGCTCAGGGTGAGAGGGTCAGAGGGAATGAGAACTGGGAGAAGGAAGAGAGGGAAAGATGCAGAAAGACCAGGACAAGACGTTGTCGCCCCCCTCCCCCAATGAGCTCCAGCCCCGTCCAGCTGCGGGGGAGGGGATGTCCCAGGCGCCGCGACCCAGCTCTGGACCCATTGGAGTTCGGCAGATTCCGAGGGAACCTGGGGGGGCCGCGGGCCCCTCCCGCGTGGCCTGGCAGCCGTCAGGGTGCCACATCCTCTGTAGGTGGTGTTTAGGGGGCAAGGATTCGGGCAAGGATGATGTGCTGTAGGGATGGGGTGAGGGGTTAAATGAGGGTGGGCCACCCCGGGAGGCCGGGTTAACTCTCTTCCCTCCCTCCCGCGTGTCCCCCGCAGGCTGCGACATGTGCGCGGACAACCGTAATGGCGAGTGCCCCATGCACGGGCCGCTGCACTCGCTGCGTCGGCTCGTGGGCACCAGCAGCGCCGCGGCGGCAGCGCCCCCGCCCGAGCTGCCCGAGTGGCTGCGGGACCTGCCGCGGGAGGTGTGCCTGTGCACCAGCACCGTGCCCGGCCTGGCCTACGGCATCTGCGCGGCGCAGAGGATCCAGCAGGGCACCTGGATCGGGCCCTTCCAGGGCGTGCTCTTGACCCCGGAGAAGGTGCAGGCGGGCGCCGTGAGGAACACGCAGCATCTCTGGGAGGTAGGTGACTGCCTGCCGCCAGCACACATTACTGCCGGGCGGGCGGGAACCTGGCTGGGCCAGCACAGAGCCTTGGCCCTTGGTAAAGAGCCTAACTGCTGGAGTGGCACCTTTGGCCCCCAGAGGGTAGTGCAGAATAATTTCCCGGATCTTGCAAATGCCTGGTGTCTTCAGTACCTGTAGTAAAGATGGCGCCACCGTAATCTGACTTGATTTCATCTGGATAAGTTTGACCCTCAGTGTGTCTCCTGGCTCTTGAGAACTAGAGAAAACAGTTAAAGAGACAGGCCAGGGAGGGCTGGGCCTTGGGGTGTGAGCTAGGTGACCTTTAAGTCCCATTCTAAGCAGCTCACGTGTGATTCTGTGTGTTGGGCACCGAGGTACATTGACATGAAGATCGAAAACAAGTTTGTAAACACTGACATGAGAGGCTGCAACTTGTTACACAGTGTGTATCTGAGTGTGGATCTGAAAATCACAAATTCTGCTTGTTTTCTGACAGTGATTCAGTCGTCAACACTATAGAAAATCAAAACAACAAACCGCAATTAAAAACAAATTGAACAATGTGGTTTTAACACAGTTGATGATACTATTTCATGCCATCGTCTTACTGGATACGATTAGTTAAGGTAACCCCAATGGAAAAATACTGGCCTACATTTCTTGGGACTATTTCTCATGGTTGACTCGTGAAGGGCACTCTTGAACGGAGGCATTCCCACCAACTGTAGCCACCTCTCCGAGGACCCATGCAGTACCCTGTTTCCCCGAAAATAAGACGGTGTCTTATATTAATTGCTCCCAAAGATGCGCTAGGTCTTATTTTCAGGGGATATCTTATTTTTCCATGAAGAAGAATATGGTACACATTTATTGTTGAACAACAAAAAAGGAAATTTATTACCTGTATATGGTACGGTAGTAGTTGTCATCCCAAACCAGCATAACCAGACAAACTGTGAATCCTACAGTGTCAAGAATTTCTTGTTACTACCATTATTTCCATGTACAACAATCTATGGTGCATTTACTCGCACTTCCTGTCTGCTCTGGCTGCGCTGTGGCCAATAGTGAGCTGCGCAGTGGCACCCGCTGTTATGGTCCAGAGTCCAGAGTTACGGTAGCTTCAGGGGGCCTTATTATCGGGGAGGCCTTATGTTCGGGGGGTCTTATTTTCGGGGGATGCCTTACTCTCGGGGAAACACAGTACTAGTCATGAAATACAAGAGGCTGGACTTATTGTTGGGTGCCATTCAGCTGATTCATACTCTCAGGGATCTTGTGTGACATAGAGTAGAATTACCCTGTGGATAACCTGGGTTATCATTTTCTGCCAGGCCTTTCTCCCATGGGTCTGAACCAACAATGTCTTAGTTAACATCTGAACACCTGTATGCCACCAGGCCTCCTTCCAGAAGCCACACCCTTGTGCAGTATTTAAATTTGACGAGCTGTGACCAGATAATATAATGGCGTGGGGGTAGCTAGGAAAAAAAAGGTGATTAAATGCCAGAGACCAAGTGGTATGGACCTTATGACTGCATTAATGGGTCATTTCTGCCGTAGCTAGGCCCTCATACTTGGCTGAGTGGTCTCTCAAGGTGATCATTTTTCACTGTGAGCCAGTTCATCTTCAAATAAAACTCATGGGACTCAATAATCCACCTGCATTTTTGCTGGGCACCCCTTCTGGCCAGAACTATGTTAGGCCATGGAAATGCAGTGCTGGGAAAGAACAGATCTAGTCCCTGGTGCCTGCACCAGACCGCTGACAATTCTTCAGAGGTGAGGTCTCTGTTGACAAAGGCTTCTTTGACGGGGGGAGAAGCTGAATGTCTGGGTGATAGTCTAGCGGTCCGAGTTATCAATATGGCAGCCAACACACTTATCCCTGGGTGCACGTGGCTCCAACCATGTGACTCTCAAACTACTCTTGGAAAGCAATCTGGAAGGGGGCTTCATAAGGTGGGTGGAAAAATGGAATGGAAAGACAATGGAATTTGTCCATGAATTTTTGAAGTCCCCTTGTATACTTCTTTCAGGATAGTATTCCTGACTAAGGGGCGGGGGTGTGGTGGGCTGGTTGGGCACATCAGTGTGACCAAATGGTCCTCTTTAAACAGAAAACTCTAAAGGAAAGCAGGGAAAGAGAAAACAGAGGAGGAGTAGATTAGAAGTTAGAACTTTTGGATAAGAAAACCCGACAAAGGAGGAAAGCATCTGGTTTTGCTACATTTTCTAGTTGGTTTTGTTCCTGGCTAATTATTTTGTAACCACCACTGTGGTTTAAAATTATAAAACACTTCCAGGCACTTTTCATGTTCTAATGGGGATATTAGGAACTCTGATACCGTCCAGTGAAAGGTCTGCCAATACTTCTCTGAGGAAATTGTGAAGTAATTGCTCAGTGGTACAGATTTGCTCTGTATGATAATGGTAGAGCTGAACACTATTTTATTTCCTTCCAATGCCTTGGGTTTGGTGCCCCTCCGTTTATAGAGTGCCAAGGGACACAGCCATGCCCGTGAAAAAAATAAAAAGGCCATCGTTGCCGGCTTTTGTTTTATTTTTGCGCACATGACTTTGGCTGGTTGAGCTGTTGGTACGAAGCCACTACTCATAGTCAATATGTTAATATGTATTAGTGCTGGAAAGCTGTGGAACTTTTCTTTTGCACCTTTATGTATACTTGATGAAGTTAAATGTTACTGTAGAAACCGGGCACATTAACCAGTGTTTTTGTTTTGGCACGTACTTCGTCGGTAGCTCTAGAATGGGATTTACATGTTGTTAGGGATAGGTTGGTTGAGTGAGTGTGTGTGGGATCCATAGAGTTGTTTCTTTGATGTCTAAAAGATTTTCGAGTGTCTGGGTTTATGCTTGAATGATTGACAAGTCCCTGCTTCCACATTCAGAAATACTCCATCCATTTATTTTTCTCATCTGTAACAACACTTAGAATAACATACATTTGGGGGATTGCAAGCATGTTAACGCTTTAGCCATTCAAAATGTATCAGTCTCCTGAGAGATCATATAAAATGTGACTATGGCCAGGTAACTTAAGCCCATGCCCATTTGTAAGATAAAACACTTACTTTAATAGATTTCAGATTTTTACTAGTATCGTTATTCTTAAGAGAATGTGTGAATTTATTTTTACTTAAAAAATATTATGATTCATTACTTTTATACAACATGATTATCTGAATTCAGTTAGAGGTATAGCAAAGGCTTCTAAGGATTGAATTTATTCCTTAAATTCTATTTTCTCTTGCAGACCTAAATTCTACTGTGAAAAAATTTAGCATGATATGATTTCTTTTAGAAGAAATTTTTAATTGGAAAATATTCTAGTTTAATAGGAAACTTTGGGCAATAATGGTTTAATGACTCACATAATCACTTTCCGCTAGAATATTGGGTTGAAGTAAGGCAGATTAAGCACACACACACACACACAGCAATGGAGTCATGACAATCTTATTTTAAAAAACTGTAATTGTTTCTCATCATCAAACTGCGGTTGTCTCCCTTCATCATATATTTTAAAGTCATTTAGAGTTCAATACTTAGGTCCTGATGGATATTACCTGGGTTACTTATCTTTATTTCCGTGCAATAAATGGATTGCTAATCTTGTGCTGTCACTATTTCCAAGTAGATGATGGATTTTTGTTTCAGTTTACACTTCATTGTTTTTAGTATGGTTGTACTTTATTATATACATGAAGACTCTTACAGAAACAATCAGAATCACTTTAGTTACTACTTTTGTTTAATCATTAAAGCTCTATTTTCTTTGTAGAAAAGTGACTTTTTAACATTTAATGCACATCAGCCACTGGTAGCCTCGCTTGGGTGATTGGTGAGAGTGCTATTATTGTTACTATATAATTTTGGGAGTGTATAATCTTTGTGTATAGTTCTAGTTCTCCTAAATACAGCAGTTTGAGAAAGTAAAGTTTCATTGTACTTTAATATGTTTGACAGCTAGTGGTGTTTTGGAAAAATTCTATGAATATTTCTTTTTTAGTCAGAAGCCATTGTTTTTGTAATTTAAAGATATAAGCACCCCCTGGAGCCAAGTGACTAGCCCCTTTTTGGCCAATTTATTTTAGAACAGGAATTTTCATGTATTTTACTAAAATAATAAATTCAGCTAGCTTAAAACAAAAACATTACAGGGCATTTTAAATCACTATTAATTTTGGTCGTGTGCATTTAGTCCAACAAAACTTGGATGCATGATTCATTTCTAGCTAGTTGGATGTAATGGGAAAATTTTTTCCTGACTGTTTTGCAAAGAAAACAGAGAGTTTCTCAGCAATTAGGTCTTATTGATGAGAGTGAGATAATTTTATCCTAATGCATTTTCTAATAAAGAAGTGAAAAAGGCACATTTGATTCTACCATATATGAAAACATTATCTAAATTATTAATGTGCCCCTTTTCCCTCGAGATAAATTAATCTAGTTGCATATAGTTTCCCCTTTCTGCTTAACATCAAAATTTAAGATGGCTGGACCTGAGGAATGTACACAGTATATAGTGAGAAATCTATTGGAATACAATACAGAAGTTTAAAATAAAGTTGCCATTTGAGAGAGGCTAGCATTAACTAAGGCCTTTCCACTCAAGGTCTTAGTTGACAAGGCTTTTTAGCAACAATGACAAAATAAATTGCCCTTGTTTTCACCTAGAAACATTATTCTTCTAGTTGAATTATGTAATGGTTTGTTAGGATTATAGTCAAGGTACTGGAAAGGGATTTAACTTTACAGAAGCTGTCTTCTCTTTGCCTAAGTCAATTTGAGAGTCTCATTTTCATTTGCAGTATATGGGAACCTTCATAACGTTTCTGAAGAAAATGAAAGGATAACATAATGTGATCCTGTTTGTGGTTTGATTTTATGCCATAATCTTTTGGATTTATTGAATGCTCTGTTTTTAAGGGGCTGGTCTACTTTTCATCATTACCACTTAGTTTAGGTCA